GCAGCAACGTGATGATGGCAGTCTGCACACGCACCAGAACGCCACACACCTCAGAGGGCAACACAGCCCCTGCGCTGAAGGGTTAATGCTAATGAAAGAAAACATGAGCAGAACACAGCCATGAATAAATGTAGCCAGGGCTTTGGTAACTTTCACAGCAATGCGGATAGAGTTACCCTTTCATTCAAAGTCACGCAGGGCAGAAAATCTAAACCCCTTCAAGGCGGGGTTCAGGAGGTCTCTGAAGACATCTGTCATCATAAGCCACATGCCACAGAAGGAGGTTGGACTCCATGACCTCATGGTTTCTGCTAATCCTACACCATACAGTGAGAAAGAGAGATGGGTTTTGACATTGTTTTCAGTGGGTTGGAAGAGCTTTCTGATATTTACCTGAGATAATACCCAGGTACCTGCTTGGCAATGGTTCCTGCTGTACCTGGAAAAACTACAACCACTGACCTTATCCAGGGTCACACAGTTACCCCGCTCTTGAAGACCATATGCCAGACTTCTGATTTTCCACATTTCACAGATGGGTGGCTTTGATAAGTTCATAGCAGACAAAAATAAAGAGAACTGGGCACAATACCAGAGCTTCTCAGTCTGCTTTTATCATAAGACTATCTTTCATCTTACAAGCCAGTGCTACCCCTTTCATTCACAAGACATGCTTTATTCAGCTGACTACAAGTCAGGATTAGATCCCACTGTTGGAAGATCAAGATGAAATGCTTGATAATGATAATTTAACGATATTTTAAGGTCAGTCTAAATTAATGCATGCATTCATTAACCCATATGTCATTAAATTTAGATTTTTCAGATGTTCCCATCTGTGAGTGAGCTACAGAACACAGTTAAGAAAAAATGCAGTAGAAACAACAGCTAAGCAATGCAGGTCTCCAAGGACAGGCCAAGCAACGCAGGGCTCCAAGGACAGGTCCCAACATACTGCTTGCTCTTTTCCCTGTCACTAATGCATTAGATGCTGTGTTTAAGGAACACTGATTCATGCAGAGCAAGTATGTTTGACAGGGAAGGCCTGCATAACACCTCGAGAGCAATGTTAAACAAGCACCCTAACACCTTTTGTGTGTTGTGTATGAAACAGGTGAGACTGAAAAGTCACTGAGAATAGACAGGTGCAGAGCTCCCAGTCTCCTGCCCCTTTCAAAACTGAACTCCCTCTTTCCTTCCCAGTTACTTGGCTATGACAACACCAATAGAGAAGATAACATAATCACTTCTGCAGAGCCCTTCCCTTTCTCCAAGAGCACTGCCAGAGCAGCTGGCTGTTTCACACACACATGCAGCCACAGCACGGTTCAGTGTAACCCTGCCATGCCTTGGTGGGTTGTCACAGTCAGTGCTAGCCCAGGGGGACAGCAGTGGGTGCTCCTCCTGAAACACCAGCCTCTGTCAACTCTTACTATTCCTCACCTTTTGGACAGAAGAAGCCCAGCACCTGGCCTCCCCCCATGACAATGATCCTAAAGCCCAAGAACTATGCCACGTCTTAACAGCATCATAGCAAGCCTGGTGCAGGAAACACACATTTGGTGGTAACACTCACCTCCAGCAGCCCCCAGTATCAACTGCAACAAAGAAACAGCCACAGCATCCCAGGCAGACACTCCAGATGGGGGTAGTGTTTATCTCACTCCATCAAGCCCCTTGACAGCAGCTGGGCGTCCCTTTTCAGATCTCTCAGCTGTACGCGGTGCAGCAGGATGCAATGGGAGGAGCAAGGAAGATTGCTAGTTCACGTGGACCTGCTGCACTTGCAGGCAAGAGCAGCCTCAGGATTCTTGTCACAGCACCTTTCACCAGCATGAGAGACATGAAGCACTTGAATTCACCTTGAGGGTAATGCTATACCAGTATGAGCTACCTTCCTGTTGTATGCAAGCAGAGAATTTAATCCTCCACACTGTCAAGAAGCTCATTTCTGCACAGTTGACTCCTGCATTCACCCGGGGAAGGCAGAAGAATGAAATTCAGAGCAAGCTTGACATGCTGACAGCCCTGTCCCTCCTGCCTCAGAAATACATGTAAGAAAGGTGCCCCTTCCTCCCCCGACTACCCGTTTTCTCTTGGTTTTGGTGATGTGCAGAGGGCTTGTTGTACTACTACCCACACCAAACCACATCAAACTCGCAGCACATATTCAGAGACCACTTTGCCATCCAACCCAGCCTGTACATACCATCTCTTCTAGAAGCACAAGACAGGGAAAACTTTCCAAGGCAGTGCAGGTGTGCCAGAAGAAATTCAGCATTTCTTCCTTAAGGCCTCAATTTTGTAATTGGGTCAACATGAATAGAAAGGTCCCCCTGCACAGCAAACCATCACTTGCTTTCACGTACAGTCACCCTGCATCAGTGAGCGATCTTGACCTCCACTGGACCAGTCTGCACTAGAACTACAGAGTGGTATTTCTAAACTGCTCAGCAACTAAAGATCCTTAATGTAGAACACTGGCACAGAGTTCTGCAAACCTACACAAACCAGCCTACAACTATCAGCTTCTCGAAAACTTGCTTCTTTTTGCATGTTTTGGCCTGTCATTACTTTTTCCTCTTTGTAACAACACTGCTCAGACCAAACTGCAGCAGCAGTACTGTGGATTAGCAAGGAATCAAAACACAAAACAAACTGGCCACACAGGGTATGTCAGGGTAATTTTATTTAATAAAACCAGCTATATTATTAGAAACCAGCAACATCAACATGTTTACAGTATCTTGTAGACATCAGTAACAGTGTAAAGCTCCAGTCAGGCTCTATAGTCACCTCATCACCACAGCAACAGCACAGGAAGCTGAACAATGTCCTGGTGTGGCTTCCATACATTAATAGGCCTGAAGACGTACACAGCACAACATACTTCTCTATTGAAGCTGCCAGTTTCATTACTTTGGTAGAAAAATCACTGTTATTGCTGTAATTTGTGAGTTAATTTTTGACTTGCCTTTAAACAGATTTGTTCTCTGTATGAAAAACCTGATCAAAATCGAGCTGCTTCTTTTGGTCACTTGACATGAGTGCTGTGTATCTATTCCTCATGCCTTGCTGCAACTGCCATCAGGCCACAGAACTCAAAGGACAGGATATGCACATACTGCCCCTTCCCAGGACAGCTCATCAGCTAGCATTTCAGATTTTATTTTAAAAACAAAAAATGGTAAAGAAAGGAATATATACACGGGTGACTTCAAGTTTCAATTTCAGAATAAGGCAGTTAGGCTTATGTGTGTAAATGCCAGTACAGCCAAGTCCCTCTTCAGAGAAGGCAGGCTGCAAACATGGGGAAGCTTTGGGGAGTGGGTTCCCCTAAGCAGCGGGCCTGGAAGGGCTACCCAGTACCCAAGCAGCACATCCCAAACATATTAATCATGCACCTTACATGGTAAAGTCTGAGGCTCACAGAAGTGATGAGAAAGGCTGTACCTGTCCCAGCCATGGGAGAAACACCTTCCCTAGCCCAGCGCTGTGAAGTCTCCGTGGCACTAAAAGCAAACAATGAACTGAAGCTGCTTCTTTGGGCTCTGACTGGAAGAAGCTCTAAGCAGCACACAGAGAGAAGGCACGGAGGGAAGCATGCTGCATTGCATCTTCTCCTTTGCCAGTTCTCCTTTACAATTAAACTTGCCACAACCTGCACAGCAACAGGGACAGCCCACAGGCCATTTCCACAGTATACTACAGATACCTGTTCCTGTGCTGGTCATGGTGCCCGAGTATCCAGGTGCCCAAGCCCAGGACAACTCTGTGCAACTCGTTCCCAGTGCTAAAGCAATTTGGAAAATATAAATTATTTTTAAAAAACAGATATGAGGCAAGTTCCGAATTGCTTAGACTAGACAAAATAAAGGAACTGCCCACTCCAAACATTCATAGTCCTGCTCAGGTGGAAAAAAAGAGGTAGAACCAGTGGACAGTGACCCACCAGAAGCATAAAGGCATTTTAAAATAAGGGAAAAAAAACCCAGAAATCAGCATTTTTCAAAGCCTCAGGCAGTCATCCAGGTAACTATCATAACCAAAGGTGTCTATTTAGTTACCAGTTACAATTCTCCAGCGTCACAAAGAATAGCTTAAAATCCAGCAAGTCACCTTCCTTCTCAGTGCCACATCTCACTGAAATAGCTCAGCCTCCAGGGTGGGGAGGCAGTGACTCCTGTAATAACAGGAATCTGTGGTTCTAAAGGACAGAAGCAAAGATGTCAAGGGACCCTTGGATTAGCATTTTGCCTACTTAAACTCCCTTTAAGCTTCCCCTCCAGCTTTACAGTCCCCGGGGTACAGGCCTTCATGACACAAGTAGGGCTCCTGATAGCCAATTCATCAATGTCACATGTTACCCTGGGACTGTTAAGTTTTTGGGGAAGCACCATGATCAGCTCTGGCAGCTGGGGTAACAGACAGGAACAGTGGAAACAGTACAAGCAACTCAAGGAAGAATGTGCATATGCAGAAACATAAGTGTACTAGTCCTCAAAACAGAGCACCCAGCATCATGGGGCAGCCACAGCAAGAGCTATGCTGCAGTGTACAGGCTCAGCGCCACCCCTTGTCCCAGGCCTGGGGCTCTCCACAGAGAGGTCTATTAGTGTGCCCTTACTTCTACCCCACAGCAGCACCTCAGTGACAAAGAGCAGCAGTTGACTAGACAATCATGAAGCTGCTTTTTCAATGGCAGACTCCAGATGCACAGCCTTAGATTAAAACCTCCCAAGGCTTTCACTTTTTGAGAAAACTTAGTGTTCTTTGCTGCACATCCCATATATGCAACAGAAGAACAAAAGGCATTTTAGAAAGAAGATACTTGTTCTTACTTACGTAAGAGCTAATACATTTACCTTCTAAAATGTGCTACTAATATAGTATAAATATGGACCAAATATCATTCAGATGACTGCCTTGGAAGAAAAGGCAAAGATTAGAAAACAGACCATATCTTCATATGTAGCCACCAAGAGTCTTCACCTGGTGCTCTACTGGCTTTCAGGAGATCTGCTCTGCATCTGCTCTTGTCTTCTGTAAGCTCTTATAATACTGTATATGCCACTGCCCAAGAACACCAGTGAGATGGCCGCAAAGTAAGAGGCATAAATCATGAACTGCAGAAGGGGAAAGAAAACAAAAAAGCAGCCATTAAACCAAGCAGTTACTAGATTTGTAAGAAGGTTAATAAATGAGGTTCCTTCCTCTTCTGAAATATCAGAAATCTGTAATTATTTCTCTCACAAACCCCTGACCTAAAAAAAAGTAGCCAAGAAGCTTGACAATGTGGTTTATCATCATCCACCCCCACCCCCCCCATCAGTAAAGCTAAGAGAGTCCATCATACCTGGGTGAAGATGTCCAGCCCAAGCCCACTGGCATCCACAACAATCAAAGTGAGCAGAGTCTGAAGTGCTAAGGCAATGAAAGTGTTGACTCCAAACACCAGGGCATACCGCTCCACACTGAGATTTGTAGCGATCTGGAACCTGGAAAGAAAGGGATGACTGGAAACATACGGACAGGGAAAAAGCAGGGAAATCATAGAATAGTTAGGGTTGGAAAGGATCTTAAGATCATCTAGTTCCAACCCCCCTGCCATGAGCAGGGACGCCACACACTAAACTATGAAATACAAGAATGGGAGGAACATTTCTGGACGAGACTATGTAACCTGAAATGTTACACAAACTGGTCAAATATTTTCCACAGCTAAATTACCTTGCACTGGTAGTGTACTTTTCTAAGCAGGATCATGACAGACTAGCAAAGAAGCTAGAAGAGACCCACAGACACATTAAAAAAGCTTAAAAACCACCCAAACCACAGAAACAAATCCCAAATACAACATACCCCTTTGGGAGTTCTGTGGGTTTCAGTCTTACTGAAGCAGCCCCCTTGTCCAATGTAGCTAAAAGGGTTTTGGCTCACAGAGACGACACAATGTGCTCTGATCCCAGAGAGCTGGTGGCAGTCTCAAAGCATCATCCTCCTGCAGTATGGTCCACAGCCTCCCACATCTTTATAACCAGAACTCCTTTTGCAGTTACCAGTTTCAGTATCACCCCTCGTATTGTGCTTGAGCTGTCTCGTGGCAATTATGCACATGTAGTTCAAAAACAACTGTGTTTTCCTCCCCCGAGCAACAGATAGCACTGAAGTTTTCCTCCTCACCAGTTAGAGAAAGTTGACACTTCAGCACAGGCAAAGCATTGTTCTCTCCTCAGCTGTTAAGATTTCACTCCGGCCATCTTCATGAAAAACATTTCCCTGGCAAGCAGCACTACCTCATGTTTAGCAGTAGTAACTTTAGTACCATAAGACTTTAAAGCTTGGGCAGACTGCCAGCCAAATATATCTCCACGCCACAGTTTCCAATCTGAATCACAACAGATTTCCCTTGCAATAGATTTCCAAATTCCTGGTAGGTGACACTCCAATTACACAGAAAATATACCAGCTTTCAAACCAGCTGTAACCTTGAGGGCAATTTGCATTGAAAAGATACTCACGTTGCTGTCGTGATTAGCAGCATGTAGATAATTCTGAAGACAACATAGGATGCATAGCACACCCAGATGTTACGAACAGTGTCCATGATATATACAGCAGCAGCAATGAGAAAGGAGAACAGGGCAAGTGCCACTTCACCCCACATTGCCCAGGACGTTTTTACGTGACCCACAGCAAAAACTGCAACAGCTCCTGTGAGGGGAAGGAAAGCATAACTGTTAGTAAATGCAACTGGAGCAGTTTGGAGACAGTATATTAGTGTTACCGTGAAAGTCAGCTGGAGAAGCTCTCTAAGACTCAATTTGGAGTTTTAGAAAGCAGCATTCTTTATTGCAGCGCTGGGCACACACATGAGTAGTTTCGCACGGGTGAGCGTGCCTGTTAGTTGACGGCAGCAGCTGTATATTTAGCATACTCATGCAATTTACAGCTTTTCCAGGAATTGATTTACATATTCATGAGATTTCCAGGAACTAATTCTAATATTTGCATTCTAATTAAGCATGTGCTTTCTTGCCGAGTTGGGGTCTCTGGCGGTTGCTGATAGTCCTCCTCACTGTGTTTACTGAATGACCTCAGTGCTTGCGCACGCTTGCAAGGTCCTAGTGCTGAGTTACCAGCTGGTATGTCCTTGCTTCTGCTCTGTACCAGTCTCAGCCCACACTGGGCGCCACTCTGTTATCTTGAAGGCTAGCATCCTTGGTCTTACTTACTGTCTCCTTAGTTGTTATCAGTCCCATGATGTTCCTTCCCCCGTCAGCCGAACATTCCTTTCTCTCTACATGTGAGCAAGTTAGAACGGTTTGCTGTATTCTACTATGTTAGTTTAAAGACACACACACGATTGTTAGTTTACACCTACAATTCAAGCCTACATTTCCCCCCTTTGAGACTTATGGATATACATATATCCTGCAAGTCTCATTCTATACCCTTTACCCATATTTGATTCTAATACACCATCGTGACCAGCAACTACAAAACCAAATCATGACACATGCACAGGTACAGACACAAATTATTTCTATAATGATCACAAACAAGTTGGGGTTTTTTTAACCATATCCAGTTCGGTAGCCAAGAAGTAAGTCGATGCCGTAATTCTTCAAATCCCCAGTTAGCATCACCTCTAGACGCCTGATGCAAGATCTTTGTCTCTTTCCAGGTTGCTGCTAGATCTGCGGATATTCAGCCACTCTGGTCTATGTATGTGCCAAGAGCCATACAGTTCTGCAGTGTTACCTGGGATAGACTGGATATCTCAGACTGTAATGCTTGTACAGCATGTGGGAGTACAACATCCAACATACATGTTCCAGTCCATCCTGGGGGAAAGGCTTTTCTAGCAGTATTATTACACAACCAATACCACCCCTTCCCTTCTGGAGCATTCCAATAGCCAGTTTGGGGTCCCTTAACCTGGAGTTGCATTGTCCAGCTACAGTTTGGGTAATGTCTTACCAAGATATTACTAGAGCTACAAGTTTTAACCTGTGCCAACAGGTATTGTCCAAGATCCTGTTTTCCCTGCAAAGACATTTCACGAGGAACAAAAGGCAGTTGGTAAGGCTGCCCACGCATCAGTTCATATGGACTCACATGATTCCCTCCTGGCTGTATTCATATCCTTAACAAAGCAATTAGTAGGGCTTGTAACCAAGTTAAAGAAGGTTCTTCACATACTTTAGTTAATTGTAACTTGAGTGTATGATTCATACGCTCCACTTTCCCACTAGCCTGAGGTCTGTATAGAGTATGAAGATCCCACTTGATTCCCAAACACTCTCCCACCTTCCTAACTACTTCTGCAAAGTGCAGACCTCTGTTCAAGAACAAGCCTGCTGGTACACCATATCGGGTTATCTGATTCAATCAAACCCATATTGGTGTGACAAGGGAAAGCCTCTGGCCAACCAGAAAACATATCTATTAGTACCAAAATATATATATACACATACCTGAGCCTGTTATGCTGTGGCAATTCTGTTAAGTTCACTTACCAAGTCTCCTGGACAACTGCTTTTGTTGTTCCAGGTGGGGGTCTCTTAGCATGGTAAACAAGGTTCACACTTCTTTGTAACACGTAAAAACTCGGGCCTCCACAGCCTTTTCATCAGGAATATGTACCTGAATTTTCTTTCTTTAAACCTAATGTATGCAATGTATCTCTATCCAACAACAGCACGGGGCACTCAGGCATGTAAAGAAATTGATGGGCCAACATCTGTTTGCAATTTTAAAATTTAAAGGTTGAAAGAAAGGCTGGGTTCCTGTCCACACTGTGGTACCAATGACTGAAGCTGTTTGTTTGCTTAATTGCCCTTTAAAAGTATTTATCACAGAATAAGTAGCTTCTCTTTCTACAAGAAATTTCATCTTATCATTCCCCAACCTACCTGTAACCAGGGGCTCTGTTGGGAAGGGTTTTGAATCTCCCCCCGGTCCTCCTCAGCCCTCATCTAAAGGAAAAGTTTTCTCTGTCTGTCCTGACATTCCACTAAAACTCTGGTGTTTATTCTGATTCTGAGGACATTCTCTCTTGCAGTGCAGCCC